GCTATCGCTCGAAACCCAAATATAGACTTACAATCAATAGGAATCTATTCAAAATCAGATATTCAACATCACATTAGAACACAACAATTCCAAGAATTATTAACACAAATGGACACTATACAAAGACAATCAATAGACCAAAATTTACGCAAACTTGCAGAAACCGCAGGATTTGCCGATATCTACACGCAAGACTATAGCGGATATTTTAAAGACATTAAAGATTATATATATCTAAACGGTGAAAAATACCGTCCCCAAGATATATCACCAATTAACATTTTTAGCTTTGTTACACTCAAAAATGAGATCCTCGATTTTCTAGGATGGCCCTACTACATCTTAGAAAAATTGACTATTTTATACGCAATGTTTAACTTTATTGGATTTCTTTTCTCACTCTTAAAAGGAATCTACAACACATGTGCTATACACACACAAGTAAACAGACAAGCAAGCGTAGCACGCATACTCTTTGCAGGATTTTTTGGAATCTTTTCTACATCTATAAACAAAATTCTTTTAGACGCACAAATAAAAGAATATAACACAAAAATAGCAACACGACAAAATACATACGACGAAGAACATAACAATGTAGACATAACGCCAACGGCACCACAATTACCAATCCTACCAAATAACCATCCACTATCCCTAGTCCCACGAAATTTTCGAAATTTAGCCATCACACATAATCCAAATTTTCGACTCACCACATCACAAAGTCCCATTCAACATATAATGACACACCAGTCACAAGATGATAATACTTATGAACAAATTATTGAACAACCCCATACCACCGCTTTTCAGTCTCAAAATAATCATTTTTTTAGCCCACGATGAGCCGCCAACTTGGATCACTACACCGATCGAATTCCCACCCAACCAATCTTACCTCCTCAATCCCAATAATACCACTTTTCGCTTTTCCGCCACCCGATTTTCCATCTAGTAATGTAACATCAGGCATGAATTCCGACACTAATTCACACATCTCAGTTTTATATTCCATCTCACAACTCAATAACCCGAATATTGAAACCCCCGATGAATTTGCCGACTCAGAACCATCCCCATCCAATAATTTTCATAACTCTTCTAAATTTTCTCAACCCCCTTTTCAACCCATATTATCCAATGACCCTGACCCAATCACTCCCACACCCTCTTATGCTTCCCAAGTTACCCCAACCTACTCCTCATACCATTCTGACCAATCATCTCATTCTCCAGACACCCCCCGAATCTCCCCAGAGCTAGATAATTTTATTACCCTCCAACAACAACCCTACCACCTTAATACCCCAACCATAAACCAAATCTCCTCCACTATAAATTCATCCAACCCCCCTACCCCTACACCCTCTTCAAATTATACTGAATCATTAGCACCATCATCCACATCAACTGAATCTTCACTCAACACTAATAGAGCTTACCGCACTTTTAAAAGAAAGTTCCCCAACCATCCTTTCCCAGCAAAACCAGGAACAGCCCGTGAATACATCAACCACCCCAAGCATACTAACACAAAAGAATTTTTAGCCATCACCTTACCCTCATTCCCACAATACACCTTAAACACCCCCCACGACACTAACGAAACACGCAACTTTGTAGATGAATACGTTTTAATGCCCACTCTCTCTTGGACCTCATATTATCATTTTACTAACCCTCTTTGCTTACCTTTATCTAACACTCACATCGATATAGAGCGAAATACGGACATGCTATATCGACTCACTACACCACTAACCGCTAGACAATTTACTTACGTTGGATATAAAAAATCACTAAAAACACACACTGCACCTAGAGCTAACGAATATACACTCGAATACTATGATCACAACATCATCAGAGCTAACCAAGATCAATTCTTAGACGACGATCGCTTCGCTAATCCACAAATTACCGAAAAATTTTTCATCAAGACACCGTATATATTTACACTAAACATCTTCGACCGCAACTTTGATCACATTATTTCAGAAGCACTAACAGACACACAAGCATACGAAAGTTTTAAAGAACGCTTCCAAATATTTTCACTAACCTTTCATTTCCTTGCACCACACGAAAGAGATTTACACTGCTCACACGATATTATGTTGCGCACTAAACAAACCCACACATATAGTTATTATCGCTTCATCCAAAATCACTTTGACCTACACACACCCTCTAGACAACCACACCATCGCTTTCAATTCATTAATTCCAAATACACTTCACCATTTTTCCTAAATTTCACATATTGTATTAAAGACACTAACCTCCATGGTATTCTTCGTAATTATGACCCCATAACCCAAATGTACATCTTCTGTCCCATCACCAAGACCTTCAACGCCGAAGAATCCCGACCCTTCCTTATCCCGCACGAGTTTGTACAACCTATAGAAATCCCAATTTTAGAATTCATCCACAACACTAAATTCAATCACAAATTATATAATCTAATCCAAAACACACCTTATGAGTTTGCAGTTGGCACTGAAGAACTAACCACTATCAAGGCACTTCAATTGCTTTGGCCACTGCTTCAGACTAAAAATATCATCCGCATCTTAGCTAAACTACTAACAACTTCAGAACTAATTCACGACATTTTCCCCCACGGTTTTTTCCCCGACGACTAACAGGTAAGTATGAATTAAATGAATATTACTAACTAATTAAAATATTAAAAACTCACCATTCTTTATCCATGTTTTCTTTAGATTTTTAGCCTTCATCCGACGATCACCTACAAAAACCACAAAAAACAAATAAAGATCGCAAATTTCATCAAACAGATTTCAAAAATTCTATTAATCTCTTACACTTATAAATTTATAAATTTAATACCAATGCAGTAAATTCATTTCTAAAATTTTTCCCACAAGCAGTAAATCTAATTATGATGAAAATTTGTAACTTAAAATTCCCCCATAACTAGCAGTAAATTTCCAAATTCTATGCAGTAAATTAATAAAATGCAATTGCAGTACTAACCTTTTGATATTTTCATTCATTCGCACAGAAATTCTATCCACACTCGCACAGCTCGCCCACGAAGAATTGTTTAAAATAATGAATTTCAGTTTCAAGTTTTCACACTCAACAACTCTAACATACAATAACATGTTTCAAACCTTCCTTTAACCCGGTTGGAAAGGAATCATATACTAAACAAAACTAACCAACGCAGCTTACTAAATACCACAAATCATAGAATAACAGCATGACTAAGAAAAGGAAACCAACGGTACCCAAACCGGATTAACCCAGTTTAAAACTGGATAATTTATTCTTTTGAAGACTATTATAAAGTCTAAGAAAGAAATAATAAAACACAAAAAAGTCGAAAGACAAACCCATACCACGAACAATTTGCTTTTTGGAAAAAGGACATAACCAACAAGACATAAGAAAAACCACAACAAACCCAACATAAAACGTTGTCACATAACAGGACCACTCACAAAAACCGCATGAAATCATACTCCCACTCCTGGCCTAACCCACCAGGAAGGACGTCCTGAGCATGCTCTATAGCCGGCCTAACCCACCGCGCTACATCCACGCTTTGTGACCACACCTCTATTTTTAATAAGAGCTACTCAAGTGTGAGTAACTCTTCAAAATAACCGAACTAAAACAAAAAGCTTTTGTGAAAACAACTAACTAAAATCATAATTAAAAAATATTAAACTAATAAATGTTTTATAAAATGTAAATTACATTATGCAATACATAGATCAGAATACAACACCAAGGACGAACATCTAAAGACAAAACGACCCCACTACACTCGAGAGAGAATGACCAACCACAATCGATATGCCACTCACAATCACAACTCAAAGGATTTAGAGTACGACTTGACTTCGCAGAAAAGGACTTCATTGAACTAGACCAATGACCACCTCGATGCTCAAGTATACGTACAGATCCGAGTAACCAGGCATCCCCTCCACGCACAATCTCCACGCCATTCCCAAACTAGATCAGACACAAAAGAAGTTCTCCACGCAGAACAGAAAAACCTGACATAGCAAACCATTCTGAAATCAGATTTGAGTTTGTTGCAAAGACTTAGTCGTTGTCACTAGAAGACACAACGTCTTATGTCATCTAACTCCAGCTTCCTGGAACTTCTTTAACAAAAAGGAAACAAAAGAAATATGATGTTCGCCAAACACCAACGTCCATCATCCATCCTTCGAATTGCAGAAGAACCATTCTAAAAAACTCTGTAAAACCCGGATGGGTGGAACCTGATCTAAACTACATTTTATGATTGGATAATTTAGATATTTTACCAATGTAAAGTATTTAATATTAACCAATCATGATCCATCTAACTAACAACCCACTTATTTGTAAGTGCTGAAGTTACTTGTAATTTCAGCACCAGAGAGATTTGAATTTAACTTAGAAATTAGTTGACTCTCCAAGAAGACTTCAGCTGCCGCAATAAACCAGTATACCCTAGATCTATTGAGCCTAGCAGAGACTAGTTAAACAACCTGAGACTAGATAGTATAAGAGTAAGATTAGGATCGGTATTAGACTAAGAAGTTGCACGAATCTATCCGGCCGAAAATAAGATAGCGTGACGAGCAGACGGTGTACCCTATCCGAAATTACTCTATGAGTTAACCAACTCGGTCCTAACTCAAAAAATTGCTTCAGTGTAACGAAAAACGAATCTGAATATTTTCGGGATTCAGACCAGGAAATTAGATACCAAATTACACGGGATAATACGGGGTTTTCAAAATGATCTGGATGTTTTTCTTTTGGGAATAACAACAATCCCAAATCGGCCCCAGCCAAAATGGCAAACTTTTTGGTCTAAATTTTCAAGTGCCAAAAATTGTCCTATTTTGGTATGTTTTGCATAACTAATTTTCTGATCGGCATTGCGGTTCTTTTCTTTCTTGGCGTTTATTTCATTACTTAAAATTTTAGATCAGACCACCTGTACTTTGATTTTGTTTCAGAATCCTGTTTTCTTTTTCCTCGGAAACACGGACCAGGAAGTATCGGAATTTCTGAGAGCCAGATCGGAAAAATTCAGAAAATTCAGATGCGTAGCAGTAGCTGAAATCAGAAAACAAACTGTTCCTGATAACCTCGGCACAGGTACAGAAAAAAAAACAATGTATTTGTGTGTGTGTGTGTGTGTGTGTGTGTGTGTGTGTGTGTGTGTGTGTGTGTGTGCGTGTGTGCGTACCTATCAGATAAAAATGAAAATCATAATAATTTCAGAATAAAATTCATTGCTTTGTTAGAGAATGATTTAATTTTAGAAAAAGTTTTTTTCTCTCTGTATTCTGGGTTAGCTTTTGAAACACTTTAAGAAATCCATGCAACGCGGAAGTGTTGCAGTGCAAAAACAGTTTTTCCTGTAGTATCACTCTTGGTGCTGCAGTATATACAGTATATGTATATATACTGCGACAGCTTTGTTGAAACAATTTTTGGGAACCGAATCTGGACCAGTAAGGCTGATAACACTCTTGACATTCTTGTTGTTTCTGTTTTTTTTTTTTGAAAAAAAAACAAACGGCACGCCATAGATTTTGTGAATCATTTTTCAGTAACTTTTATTAATGACACTCAATTTATATTAGCAGAGATTAGTTTTTAGTTTGGTTACGGATCGAAAATTGTCATTATCTTCACCTTCAGGTTTCATCTGCAAGTGTATCTTCTATTTCAGGTGTGGATCTGGCACTCATATCGCAAGCAGATGTTGTTGTGCTCAGTTACGGCACTTACGGGGATTTTGGGGCACTCCTTACCAGAGACAAACAGGAGATACTTTACCCGAAGGACCACCTCGGCAACATGGAGACGGGACTCCTCGGAGGACTTCCTCGATTTACTGCAATACCCTGGAAACCACTGAAAGATGAAAACAGTTAACCATTCAAAGTCTGCTTCAAATGCATGTGTTTTTAGTGGCATTCTTTCGATTTTTTTAAAAATAGCACTTCCTTCACGATGAAGTATGACTCTGATAGCCAGAGTTGTAGGCAAACATTTTTGGCCATTTTGTGCAGTTAGTTAACACTCTAAAAATCTACACTATTTTCTGAAAATATCCCAGAACTGAAATGTGGGCTGAATTCAAGGTGTGCAGTAAAACGAAACTTCAAAGCCCACATAATGCAATCATAATAATCTGTAACATGTTTTCTTAATAAAATACAAAACTGAAACTGGTTTTTTGGTTCAAAAAATCTCGAAAGAGTTGAAAGGCTCACTATCTTAGGCTGCTAGGCAACCTTTCGAGAAGACTTTAATGTTGGAAAACTGATGGAATCGAAAGACAAATGTTAAGGCACTAGTTGCTAAAATCGAAATTTAGCTGGCTGGAAAAATTTGAAATGCAGTGGCAATCCGGATTTCGGAGACAATCGCTAAGACAAATTTTGTTTTGGATTCGGCAGACAAAAGTGTTTTTGCAGTTGGAATAATTGAAGCGAAATGTCAGAGAATTCCACTGTTGGTCGGTGGACTCCGCTATCAATTTGTTCTTTTTATCACTGGGTTCTTATTCTGGATTGCTGGGACACATCTTTAGCATGATTTGAAGACTTTTTTTCAGTGGATTCCACAATCAAATCATCCCTACACAAAAAACCGGCAAGTTACTTTTTGTCAGGGATTCACAGACAAATAAGTTTTGGCCGTTGAAGCGGCTTCCATTAATTGCAGCTGGTTTCCACCATTTATCAGTGGATTCCATGGTCAATTCGTTATTTTTGTCACTGGATCCCACAATTTGCTAGTGGAGCCCGCAGTCAAATTTAATTTTAGTCTCTGAAACTCACAAGCTTATTTATAACTGTTTGAACATGTATCGGACCCCATTTTTCATCACCTTGAATTTCAAAGATTATGTAGTGAACGTCATCTCCATTGAACGTCTAATTTCCATTTTAATTATCACCTTCCGCCTCATTATCCTTTTTCCTACCTCATTTTATCCCTCCCTGTCTTAATTGCTAAGAAGGGCGAGGACCGCCCCCACCTCAGCATTTAAGACAATTGTCTTAGTTTCTGAGAGGGGGAGACTTACCATAGGCCCTCAGCAGTAATGACAATTGTCTCAAATGGTGAGTGGTGTAAGTTGAGGGACGTGTCTCACTTAATTATTTGATTAAGCAGCAAAAATTATCCCGTCAAAAAGATAACTATTCGGAACCCAAAAATTACCGCATAACATAAAAATAAACAAGACTTCTCGTATCAGGGCGAAGCCCTGAATGTTCCGACTGCTTTTTAAGGTTTTATGGAGCAGTAATAACATCAAAGAGTTAAATGTAATAAAAATAAAACGAAATTTTTTTTTCTAAAATGTGAAAATTTTTAATGAAAATCATCCCCCCACACGCCATATAAAGTACAAAAGGATAGATTTCGCTCCTTGTAACAAACCAATTATGGCAAATTAGTTTCTTTTAACCAATTTGGAACGATTTCTAAGACGGATTAACTCTCCGCTTACGCGTTAATAGCGCTAAGTATATCGCGCGTTAATTGTCCCAAATTGGTCAAAATGGCAATCTTTAAACCCCCGTAACTTTACGAAAAACGATCACAGGCGAAATGTCTTTTCAAATTTGAGCTCAAGATAACAATACCTTTCGAATGATTTTTAAAAATTCCGTTAAAATGGCTAGTTAAAAAGTCGAAATTTGTCTGAAGAGAAAAAACCCACCCCGAGCACAAATATTCCGTTACTTTCGTATCGAAAGTCGGAACAAAAAGAAACCTGCAATGAATGCAACTTAGAAAAAATTTCCCAAAGTCAAGATCTATCCTGGGTCTGGTAAGAGGAGGGTTCAAGTGAAGGATGAATAACCGATGTTCTTCACTGTTTAGCTTAATTTGAATGGTTAGTGTTATTAAAAATTTCCATTAGTCCTGGGTCTTTTGAAAAGATTGGGTAGTGAATCGACGTTTGAGGTCGTTAGACACTTAATGAGTGGGTGGTGGAGAAGGTTCTTTTTGATCCAAGGATAAGCCTTGATGATCAGAATTAAAAATTAATGATTTAGAAAAATTTATTAAGATCCAAGGATAAGCCTTGATGATCTGGTTTAAAATTAAGTAAATTTAAGTTTAAAATGGTTTAAATTCATTGATATAAAATTTTAGTTTTTTATGATGTTAGTTAGCTTATGATTGCTGTTATGTTTAGGTGATGAAGCTGGAACAACAGGATGATTCATATATACTAACAATTTTTTGTCATGCTACTAATTTGGTTAATTCTAAGCTATTAAGGTCTTGTTCGAGACTTATGGTTGCACCAGATGAGTTATGTCCGATGTGGTTATTTCATAGAGTAATTTCAGATAGGGTACACCGTCTGCTCGTCACGCTATCTTATTTTCGGCAGGATAGATTCGTGCAACTTCTTAGTCTAATACCGATCCTAATCTTACTCTTATATCTACTAGTCTCAGGGTGTTTAACTAGTATCTGCTAAGCTCAATAGATCTAGAGTATACTGGCTTATTGCGGCAGCTGAAGTTCTCTTGGAGAGGCAACTAATTTCTAAGTTAAATTCAAATCTCTCTGGTGCTGAAAATACAAGTATTTTCAGCATTTACAAATAAGTGGGTTGTTAGTTGAATGGATTATGATTGGTTAATATTAAATATTTTACAGTGGTAAAATATCTAATTTATCCAATAATAAAATCTAGTTTAGATCAGGTTCCACCCATCCGGGGTTTACAGAGTTTTTTGGAACTATCTTTCTTCTCTGCAATTTGAAGGATGGATGATGAACGTTAGTATTTGGCGAACATCATTTTCTTATCCGGTTCCTCTTGAAGAAGAACGTTCCAGGACGCTGGAATCAGGGATAGGAAATTGTTATTACGTCATTCGACAACGACTGTGATCCCCAATGAAATAAATCCGATTTCAAAATGGTTTGCTATGTCAGGTTTTTCTGTATTAGCAGAGAACTGTTTTGTGAGCAGCCTCGTCTGGGAATGGCGTGAAGATCGTGTTTGGCAGGGATGCCTTGTAACTCGGACCTGTACGTATACTTGAGCATCGAGGTGGTCATTGATCTAGTTCAATGAAGTCCTTTTCTGCGAAGTCAAGTCGTACTCTAAATCCTTTGAGTCTTGATTGTGGACGTCATGTCGGTTGTGTTTAGCCATTCTTTTGTGCGAGTGTGATGGGATCATTTAGTCTTTGGATGTTCGTCTTTATTGTTGTGTATGATCTGTATACTGCAAAGTATGATTTACATTTTATAAATTTATGTTGATTTGGTTTTTTAATCATGAACTTAGTTAGTCGTTTTCACAAAAGCGTTTTGTTTCAGTTCAGTTATATGGAAGAGTTACTCACCCTTGAGTACCTCTTATTAAAAATAGAATTGTGGTCACGAAGCGTGGATGTAGCGCGGTGGGTTAGGCCGGCTATAGAGCATGCTCAGGACGTCCTTCTCTGGTGGGTTAGGCCAGGAGTGGGAGTATGATTGCATGCTGTTTCTTTGAGAGGTCCTGTTTTGTAAACGTTTTATGTTTGTTTTATGTTGGTCTTTCTTATGTTACTTTGGTTGGGTCCTTTTTTCAAAAACCGAACTGTTTATGGTTTGGGTTTGTCTTCAACTTTTTTGTGTTATATTATTTCTTTCTTAGACTTTATAATAGTCTTTAAAAGAATAAATAAATTAAGGATAATTATCCGTTGGTTTTCTTTTCTTAGTCATGCTGTTATTTTATGATTTGTGAGCTGCGTTGGTTAGTTTGGTTTAGTATATAATTCCTTTCCAATCGGGTTAAAGGAAAGTTTGAACCTTGTTATCGTGTGTTAGAGTTGTTTATAGTGAAAGCTTGAAACTTAAAATCATTATTTAAACAATTCTTCGTGGGCGAGCTGTGCGAGTTTGGATAGAATTCTTGTGCGAATGAATGAAAACATGAAAAAGTTAGTACTGTTTTCTCATCTCATGAATTTAATGCATTAAATTTGAATTTTACTGCGTTTAATTTTACTGCTTCGTGGGGAAAAAATTTATAAATGAAATTACTACAACGGGTATGAATTTTACTACATTATTTAGTGCTAAAGATTAGGGAGTTTAAATATAATTTAACTAGTTTGTATTTTTATTTGTCTTTTTCTGTTTTGTAGATGATTGTGGTCAAGGGTTGGAGAATAGTAAATCGATCCACAAATTTCAGGTATAATTAGAACGCAAGTAGTTCTTAGATACTATTTTAAACTTACTAAGTCAAGATCTATCCTGGGTCTGGTAAGAGGAGGGTTCAAGTGAAAGATGAATAACCGAAGTTCTTCACTGCTTAGCTTAATTTGAATGGTTAGTGTTATTAAAAATTTCCATTAGTCCTGGGTCTTTTGAAAAGGTTGGGTAGTGAATCGACGTTTGAGGTCGTTAGACACTTAATGAGTGGGTGGGGGAGAACAAAAGTGTTCTTTTTGATCCAAGGATAAGCCTTGGTGATCAGAATTAAAAATTAATGATTTAGAAAAATTTATTAAGATCCAAGGACAAGCCTTGATGATCTGGTTTAAAATTAAGTAAATTTAAGTTTAAAATGGTTTAAATTCATTGATATAAAATTTTTTAGTTTTTTATGATGTTAGTTAGCTTATGATTGCTGTTATGTTTAGGTGATGAAGCTGGAACAACAGGATGATTCATATATACTAACAATTTATTGTCATGCTACTAATTTTTATTTTTATTTTCAATAAATATTTTTCAAAAAATTATCTTTTATATAATACTGCAGAAGTTGAGAAAACGATCTGAGATCTTTTTATCAATCGTTATTGTATTAGTAATTTTGTTTAGCGCCTGAAATAATCATGAAAATTTCCTTCAAAATTTTATGTTCGCAAATGAAAATCTAAATTCATTTCTAATAAGATTCTATGTATAAAAGTTTGTGTTGGCTTTTGCCTTACAACCATGAAACTAAATGGTAAGATTATATGTAGTCGTATATCGTCTCTTGTCCGAGGTCTTCTTCCAATACTGGGTAGTCCTAGTATTGTGCGGAATATCGGCTCTGATCTATTGAGTCGTAGAGACATTTCAATTAAGTTATTATCGTGTAACAATTTGAAATTGTTTTGTCTAATTTCTAATCTATATTTGGTTAATTCTAAGCTATTAAGG